AGAGAGAAAGAAAGAGGCAAGAGGCAAGAGGCAAGAATAATGGGGTAAGTGTATTTGAAGTGAAGGGTGGAGGAGAGTACCTTCAGGGGGATTAATGGCAGTATGTTTTTTACTGTAATAAAAATTCTTTTTTTGCAGATGAGGTCTGGCTATGTAGTGCAGGCTGGCCTTAAACTCACTTATGTAGTCCAGGCTGGCCTCAAACTCATGGCAATCCTCCTGCCTCAGTCTCCTGAGTTCTGGGATTACACCACACCCAGCTTGTAATAAATTTTAAAAATTTAAACATGTACCATGTATTTTGATCACACTTCATATTTGTCTGGGAAGGCTGCAAGTATGTGCCAGACACTGTTGAGGTCTGGAGAGAGAGGAAGAGGCCAGGCTGAGATGGACCTGAATGCCAAGCAAAGACACATGAACTTGCTCTGAGGGTCCTAGAGAAGCCATGATAGTGTTAAGAGGAACCATCAAACAATCTCCTGCTTCCCCCAGTGGGACCCTCTGTAGTTCACAGAAATGAACTTTCCTAAATCCTTCACTTTGCAGAATATTTTTCATGAACAGTCTCGTGAGGCAGACAGAATGCCGGCTGAACCTTCAGAAGCATTCCAAGAAGAGGCTACACTGGGACTGCGGACAAGTCACACCTACCCTCCCTGGGTTCAGTTCTGGGCAAAGGTGTCCTCAAGGGGAGTTCGCAGATCACTGCCTTCCCTCTTTGTCCAGAGTTCTGCCATAGACGAAGGAGCTGGGGGCGGGAACTGGCAGTACCACTTACCAGAGGAGGGAGTAGCTGAAGCCAAGGATGGCGCTGACCAGGCGGAAGTCTGAGGAGAGGCAGGCAAAGAAGGGGAAGTGGGACAGGCCAACTTCAATACCTCCAATCAGGAGCACAAAGGCTGAAGAGACAAGGCCAGGGAAGCTGTGAGTTCCCCTGCTCACCAGTCTTGGAGGCCCAGGAAAGCTGGGGGAGCTTCATGCTTGCTTGTGCCCCCAGGGACCAATGAAATGACTGAAAAAGCTCCAGTTCATGCCAGAGAAGGATGCAGCAATGTCATTCATTCCTTGCTGCTTCAGGGCCCTCCTGGTCTTTATTCTATGCCAGGCACTGGGCCTGCTAGTAAGAAGACTTACTCCTCACATTGATTAGCTCACAGTGGACAGGTGGAAACAGAGCACAGAAATGAGCAAGTCAAAGTTGCTGAGAGTAAAGCGCCCCAAGTCACCATCAACACAGAGAGGTGACATGCTGTGTGCCCCATAGCATACCCTCCCTATATGGCAATAATCCTACTGATTCTGCCACTAATTAGCTCTCAGATGGCCTAACAGGTCTAGGAATATCTAATCATGCAAGGTGACTTTTACTAAGTGTCCACTTTGAGCTGGGCCCTTGGTCAGACCCCAAGCACAAGAGGGACAAACCAGGTTCTTACTTTGAGACAGTGACAATCCAACAGGGAAGACAGATGGCTAAGGGACTGGTGGGAAATGTACTGCAACAGGGGCACATTCAACCTGCCATGGGACACAGAAGAGCAAGCTATGGGGCAGGGAACTGGGGAATCTTCGTAGAGGTGCTGACCTTCAACAAGGCAATGCAATAAAAGCAGGAGTTTGTAAAATGGAGAGAAGGAGGGCGGGAAGGACCTTTCTCATTTGAAGGGTAGAGGATGGGTTGTGGCTGGCCCAGGTGTTTGGGGGAATGTGAGTGCTGGAGGCCTGACAGGAAAGAGACCAAAAAGTAATTGCTGTGAGAATAGCAGGCGCAGCATCGTCATCTCCCTGACCCCACCCCCCCTCCCCGCATTAAAATGCAGACCTAGCAGCTGTGGACATCTGTAAGTCTAGGTGACAAGGCCCATTTGATAGCAATATGCAAGTAGAGGGAGCAAAGAGAAGGTAAAAGGGTGTCCAAAGGTCCAAGAACCGAAGAGCCCAAATGGCCTGTGTGGACAGGAAGTCATAGTCAGGAACGAGAATAAAATAGGATCTCATTAAACTTTATTAAAGAAATTAATAAGAACTCTACTAAAAGCAGATTTTTGTGCCTGCAGTTAGACTGCAGCATAAAAAGACAAAGGTAAAGAGAGAAAGAGAAAAACCAGACCAAAGAAGGCACCAGGCACCATAATTAAGGAAAGAATTTACCAGAAAGAGTGAACAGGCAAAACAGGGAAACAGGCAGGAATGTGAAAGGTCAGGGTAACCCTCACCCACATCTGATAAAATACAAAAGAGGAAAGGAGCAGCCACCTCAGGATTCTTATTTAATATATAACACATACATGTCCTTTTTACTTAATCATTGACTCTAATTCTATAAGGCTCCCTGCACACATACTTATCCATCACAAAAGGACAGGAAAAAATCAGATGGCCAGAGAGAATGTAGACAACAGAAGCCAGGCTAAGACCAGAGACAGCCAGAGCACCAGTCGGATGGTGATAACTTCCCAGTGGCCACATGAGGGATGCAAGAAATCACAAGTCCTAAATAAAAAGGAGCTGAGGACCAAAATCCACAGGCATTCACTTCTGATGCACCCTACTCTTCCAGGGTTGCTATTTAGCTTCTTTTCCCCCCCATCTTTTTCCAAATAAACCATCTTCTTTTATTTTAAACTCTGCCTCTTTAACTCATTACTGAGACTGAGAGTTTACGATCCCACAAGGAGTGGTGCATACATCCCACTCCACCACAAAGGTCCCAGACATTTACTGAAAAATTGGAGCTACAGCTAGGTGATGTATGAAGGCCGTGATGCACGGGGAGTGTAAACAGATCTCAGGAAGAGCTCAGGAGTCTGGGGTCCTTTGTGCCCCAGGAACTAACTATACTAAAAACAAGGACATGAAAAACACTTAGCATCATTAGTCACTAGGCCAATACAAATCAGGACAATAAGACAATATTTCATACCCACTAGATGGCTGAAATAATAACAAAAATGCTGGCTAGGATATGGAGAATTGGAAGCCTTGCACATTGCAGGTGGGAATGTAACAATAATAAAGGTGCAGTTACTGTGGAAAACAATATGGCAGTTCCCCTCAAAACTTAACACAGCTTTGACCCAGCAAGTGACACCACTGCTAGGTACATAACTGAAAGAAGTCAAAGCGGGGACTCAGACAGATACTTGGACTCAAATGTTCATTGAAACACTACTCACAATAGCCAAAAGATGAAAACATTACAGATACCTACCAACAGTTCAATAGATTAATAAAATGTGGTGCATAATTACAATGGACTATTACTCAGTCACAAAAGGGATGAAATGCTGACCCATGCTATAAGGTGGATGAGCCTTGGAAATACGATACTAAGTGAAAGAAACCAGACACAAAGGGACAAATACTTTAGCATTATACTTAAAAGAAAGATCTCAAATAGTCAAATTCATAGAGATATAAAATAAATTAGAGGTTACCAGGGACTAGGAGGACAAAGGAAAAAAGAGTTACTGTCTCATGGTTAGAATTTAAGTTTGGGATGATGAAGTGGTTTTGGAAATAAATACTTGCAGTGATTGGATTGCACAACACTGTGAATGTAATTAGTGTTACCAGGTTGTATATGTAAAACAAAATCTTTTATGTTATATATATTTTATTGCCATAGAATACTCTTTTAAAAAAAGGAACAGCACCTCAATTAGCCTGGGATAACTTCAATGAACTAAGAAATATATATTTGGAATTCTCAAATGGGAAAGGAAGAAGAAAAATATTTAAAGAAATAATGGCCAAAATTTTAATAAATTTGAAGAAAATTAAAATGCAGGGATCCAGTCAATAAAACCTAAGCACAAGAAACATAGAAAATTGCTCCAAAGCACACTATAACATAATTGCTCAAAATCAGTGATATGAAAAAAAAAACAAAACAGATTCTACATTCTCAGACAAGGATGTTTGACCTGATTATTTGCATTCAACCTTGTACTGGAGGGTCTATCCTGCATAATTAGGCAAGAAGAAATAAAAATTGTCTAGGTTGTAAAGGAAGAAATAAAACTGCCACTTGCACCCCGACGCCTTGGAGGTCACAGGCACGGGCAGCCTGTGATTGCTGTTTGAGTGGCCCAGGTCTGGCTTCTATGCGCATTCTGAACTGACTAGAGAAGCAGAAACAGGCAGGCTGTGACCTGCTGCCACCACAGTTTTCAGCTGAAAGCCACCGAGAGAGCTAGGTATTTCCCATCTACTTCCTGGGGGCAGAGCAGGCAACCCAGAACCCTGCCACCATTACAGTCTGAGTCTCTGCCCTCTGTGCACCTGTGGCAGACAGGAATTCCTCACTCAGAAGGCCCAGGGACTGCTCTCACTGGGGTTTGCATGTGGGCTCTCCCTGCACATGCACTGTGTGGAGTGAGTGGACTCCCCACGAGCTGCTGGTACCGCAGTTCGAGTTTGTGCTTTACTTGCGCCCTGAGCCCCTGGAGGTCACAGGCATGGGAAGTCTGTGATTGCTATTTGAGCAGCCTGGGTCTGGCTTCCTGTGTGTGTTCTGAACTGACTAAAGAAGCAGAACCAGGCAGTCTATGATCTGCTGCCACCACAGTTCCCAGTTGAAAGCTGTGGAGAGAGCCAGGTATTTCCCATCTACTTCCTGGGGGCAGAGTGGGTGACCCAGGACCCCGCCAACATTACAGTCTGACTCTCTGCCCTCTGTGCACCTGCAGCAGACAGGAGGTCCTCACTCAGAAGGCCCAGGGACTGCTCTCACTGGGGTTCATGTGTGGGCCCTCCCAGTGCGTGCCCTGTGCCGAGTGAGTGAGCACTCCAAGAGCTGCTGGTACCACAGTTCGAGTCTGTACTTTACTTGAACTGCAACCTCCTGGAGTGCCCAGACAGGGACAGTCTGTGATTGCTGTCAGTGCGGCCTGCCTCTGACTCCTGTATGCTCCCTGAAAGACTGGAGACACAGAATCAGGTGGTCCACAAATTGTTGACCCTGCAGTTCGTGTCTGGGTTTTGCCTGTACCCTGAACTGTCTGGGGATACAGGTCCACTGGACCGGGATTGTGCCACTAGTGCAACCCAAGTCTGGGCCATACAAGTGCCCTGAACTGCAAGGGGATACTGGGTCAGATGGTCTGCCATCAGCTGACACCAATGCCCACGTCTGAGACCTGGGATAACTAGATATACTTCAGCAACTGCTGGAAAACCCCTGACTAAGTAGTATATCTTAGCGGACATTGAGAGGCAAACCTGACCAACAGGAAAACTAGGGACACTAGTGGTCTTTGCTGTGTAGCCACTGAAGAGGGAAACTGAGCTTTCTGCATCCAGTATCAAACATGACAAGATGAAGGACTAAAACACAGTCCCAGAACTCCACCCCAATCAGAACAAGTCCAGGAGACACTGACATAGGAGAACTTGGTAAACACATACCTGAAATTGCTGAAATAATTGCAACGGAAGTACAGAAACAACTCCATAAGGCCATAGAAGAGATCAGATCAGAAATAATCTCTCAGGCAAAAAATGAAATGACAATAATAATGAAAGATCTGCTCAAAACATCTGAGGGAGAAACATAAGAAAATAGAAGAACA